TTGTCTTAACCAGTAAATATATAATTAAGACTCCAAGTTGGCCAGGGACTCGGTATGGTATTTATGAAGACTAAAAATGTATGGTTCAAAATGCATTTAAGATAAGAAAAAATTTTAAATATCTCACTTTCAAAATTTTTTCTAAGGGAGATGCGCTGCGATGGCTGAATTGTGTAATACGATTTTGTGTGGATGCAATTTGATGGACAATATATGCACCGCAACATGTCCTTTAATTTTATTCAATTTTTATTATATTAATTAGTGTATTAGTGAATTATGACTTGTTGGTGGCTTTATATATGATGAAAAAGCCTGACATCGTATTGTATTCAAAATGTGTAATACAGATTTGAGATATAGTTTGCCTATCCCAGATTCGAATCGACATCCGTAGTACATACTGCTCTGTTATTTGAGCTAATAGGCAACAATTTATTTTTTCTAAAAACTCTCATCAGCACTTGTACGTATTAAATACATAATTCTTTATTTAAAATTGACATTATTTAATGTAGTTCTAGCAGAAGTTCAAATGCATTACAAGACATTCTAAATGCATCATTGTTTGCAAAAAAAACTCTAGAATATAGAGATGCATCATATTTGCACAAAAAAATTTGACTAATAAGATGCATCAACCTTGATTCTTAGAGTGAAAATAAAAAATGTATTATCTAAACTTACATTGCATCTTATATTCTTTGTGATGCAAATCTAGGGCGTATATAATACATTTAAGCATGGATTAGAAGTCTTCTACTTTACACCCATACCATAATGTTTCACCAAAAAATATACAAATGCAAGGTAAATGCATAAAAAAGTGAAGGAATTGCAATAGTCTTGGTACATAAGTGAATGCTAAAAAGATTGAATTCAAACAAGATATCACATCATAAATGCATCAAAAATAGGTATATGAAAATAGGTATGCTCAACGTAAATGCATCAAAAATAGGTAGGTATTTAATGCAGTACCCATGACACATAATGCTATGCTAAGAAGAAAAAATACATTATAATCTGACATGTTTTTTAAATTGTAATATTGCTTTTGTAAGAACCATAGCAAAATTATACAATAGATATATAAAAAATAGTCGACACGGGGCTATGGTCAATGTAAATGCATCATAAAGAAGATGGAATGTAAAATTTGTTTGGAGTAAAATCTTAAAATTTTAACAGCACACCATAGATATCAATCATCAAATTTAGAAGGAATTTCTACTCTTTATCCATAGCTCTTCACAAATTTACTCAATTCACTTCTAATTTGCTCTAATGAAAAGAAAAAAAATTGAGAATTTTATAGAATGCAAAAGGTATCCAATTGATGCAGAGGTACTCCAAAAGATATTTCGCAAAAGTACTGTATAAAAAAGAAAGAAATAGTAATAATTATTATTGAGAAAACAAACACCATGCATAATTAAACGGAACATCTAATTAAACAACAATTCTACAAATGATTACACTACAAATAAGGAATTTGGAAAAGGTGGTACGAGATTATGTAGGAGATATCTTAAAATAATGAAATTTCGCAATACAATTCAGAGCAAAGAAGCTTCTTAATTCTCCGATGAACAGCGAGCAAAGTCCAAAATGAAAAAAAATTGGTAATCATTCTAGTGAGATGCGCAAACATTGTGATTAAGAAGATTAGAGATTCAGAGGAAAATCTGTTAACAGATCCGGAAATTAGAGATGATCGTGCATGCGCTGAAATTACGGAACCCATCGATGGAGATGAGCTAGAACAACCGAACAAAATGTAAAAAGACATAAATGACCCTTAAACTCATCCGAAATGACGCTAGAATACAGATCAGATCTACCACATCCAACGTTGTATAAACATTCTTATTTCTTTCATTAGATTCTATTCTTACTGGAACCAAATTATATATATATATATATATATATATATATATATATATATATATATATATATATATATATATATATATATATATATATATATATATATATATATGTTCAGGTGAGAGTGCGATCTTATGAAAGAAATAAGAATGAATATGGTACTTTAGATTGTGAGATCCAAGGGTCAGGATTGCATCAAAATTAGTTGCACCAAAAGATTTGAAAATGCATCATGTCGAAATGCAACAGAATCCTTTAAAAATGCACTTTCTCAAAATTTGAGTGCAGGATGCAATCTTAGCCGCACGATGCATCAGATCCAAAGGCTAGATTTTATTCTTATTTCTTCCACCAAGCTGCCTTCTCACGTGAACCGCCCCCTATATATATATATATATATATATATAATATGGAGTATATTTTACAATGGAGTATATTATATGGAGTGTATTTCACACAACTAAATGCACCTTAAACTTCCAATATTTTCTAATTTTTTGTTACCTTTTAACTTCTTTTAGTTTTTTTCAACTCTTTCTAATTTCTTTCAATTTAATTCTTCCAACATCTTCCAACATTTTCAAAATTTTTCCCACTCTTTTAGCTTCCCACTCTTCTGATTCTTTTCAATAGTGTTTAAAAAATTATTTGCATGCACTTTTTATATTACTATCATCATCATCACCATCATTAATAATAATAATAATAGTAATAATAATAATAATAATAATATTATTATTATCATCATCATCATCATCATCATCATCATCATCTTCGTCGTCGTCGTCGTCATTGTCATCATTGCAACTACTATATTATCGGAATGGTTCTAGAGCCACTTGCTCTGGGTGGTGGTTTACCGAGGTGTCGAGGGTTGGAACTATTAATTTTGTGAACAGTGTACCATAGATACTTCTATTAAAGCTAGTGTTATCTGGAACCACTTAAAAGGAGTTGATGTAGAACCTCTGTGTATTATTATTAAATGAAATTAATAATTCTTTTACATGCAAATGCATATACATTGAACAAAATTTTTGTCGATTCTAAAACTGATGATGTATGTTTTCAGTACATATAAAGTGACTTATAAGTCAGAAAAAATAAATAAATCTAACATATTTAGTTTTAAGCCATTCTTTTCATTTTTTGTTTTGACCAGATTATTTATGAAACTATCACTTATCTCTTAATTATAAATATCCCCAAATGACTTATATAATACTCCGTATTTAAGTTATTCTATCTACATAAAAAAAATATTTAATTTATAGACATTTTTAGAAGCTAAAAACTGTTTGTCAACAATAGGACCAGGATAGAGAAACACCTGATCTTTGCGCATTTGTAACACACACTAGAGTACACACCTTGCATTTTTATGCACATTAACCAATAACTGCACTTGATCTGTGTGCATCCGAAATGATTTTCACTTAAATAAAAAGTGTCAAATTCAGAACAGATGAAAATAAATAGGTTTGCGATGGTTTGATTCACATCGTCAAACCAAAACATTATTACAATAACCCACAAAGAAATTCAATGAAACTGCCCAAAAGTAACACATGAACATAAACTTACTAATACAACAGCACACAGACGATGTTGGTTGGCATGCACACGTAGTATTTATTTATTTTAGTCTACACATGATATGTGGTCATTCACAACTTCAACCGCCTCTTCTTCCATTCTATGAAAGTTGCGGTGGCAACCGCATGCGGCACATGTCAATTCACCACCACTTCCTTCATCACCACTTGGCATGAACTCCCTACAACCATCAACTGCAAACCCTCCCACATTGGCCGCCACATTCCTTTGGCACTCTGCGTACCTAATGGTGCGGACAACGTATGATGAAGTTGTTGTGTTTTGTGAAGATTCATCATCACCTTTTTTCACTACCACTTTGTTCCTTTTCATTTCTAAAGTTGTTGCTTCACCAAGAATTGTTACCAAGCTAGCTATAATGATCCAACTAATAACGTGTAGAAAGAGATATAGATTGAGGCTAGATTTCATTTAGAATCAGAGTATATGATTTTGAGAAATAGCCCTAACCCTAAAACGCATATTTATAGGGAGAGGGTGTATGTACTCTCTCACTTACACACACATGTACTCTCTCACTTTTATTTTGAGATAAAGAGCTATGTTTTGCTCCTATGAGATAATTTATTTTAAGATTTTAATATTTTATGTTGATTTATAATTGTAAATTAATTTTATTATTTTTATATAAGACTTCTTTTTTATTATATTCACATTGATAACAACAACAATAATATGAAAAACAGATCTAAATACTTTTATTGAACTAAAAAAAATACTTTTTTAAAGTCAATAACGTTGAAGAAACCAAAATGATTTAGAAAATCTAGAAAAAATTAAAACAAAGTAAAAAGAGTTGGAACCTAATTCTACAAGTAGTTATATAGATTTTGATGCATATATTTACTCCGTATCAAGATTTGTTTAGATTTTTAAAAGTAGACTAAAATACTTAAATATTATAGAATAAAAAAAGAACAATTATGACTTCCAAAATGAGTTGAAAAAGAAATAGATAAAAAAAGTAATGCTAGGTTTACACCATTTAGTGTACTCCATTTTTACGTACACCACCATGGTTAACCATTGATTCTATATATATTTATTAATTTTTTAATCAATATTTAAATTATGTAGTGGAAATGTTTTATAGTACATTTGAGGTACATTTTTAATGTACTCCTAGTATTTTTTGAGGTATATATAATTAGTAATTGTTGAGAATTAATTTGAGAAAATACATCAAAAAACTATTTTAGAAATGAATTCTAAATTTAAATTACTCTATTCATCCCATAAAAGGTTTCATATTCTTTTTTGCCCGTTCAAAAACAAGTTTTATTTCTATTTTTAAAAACAATGTGTGGCCTTACAAATTTTCAACTTTTTTTTTTGAAATCGAACTATCCAAAATAAACGGGGACGGGGAAGATTGGGAAGAATATGACATGTGAATTTGTTTGAGGTAGGGAGCAATACCAGGGCGAATTCCTAGAGGGCCCACTATTAATATTATCTTATGCCCGCTTTGCTTTCCGGATCTTATTTCAGAGGCGGAGGACTTGCGATGCCTAACAAACGCAACTTCGGCCACACACATGATGTGCTACCGAAACAATGTCGATTGATGTTTATTTCCTCTCCTAATAAGTTTTCCCTTTGAATTTGTTGGAAATTCAGTGTGCGGTTGGCGTGAATGAATTACGATGTCTCTATCATCGGCCAAACGATATGTTTTGAGGATCTAAATCGAGAAGATGAATAGTTTGCAGTGCCGAACAGGGAAGAGGATGGCCACTCACAGCATCTGCGGCTCCAGAAGCATGTCATTTGATTTCGGCCACTTTGGTATTTTATTTTTTTATTTTTTTTGGTGTTAGAATTGTTTTTAAATACTTTTTATATATATAAAAAAATACTTGTTTATAATAAAATTACACAAATCTTAGTTTTTTATACTATAAATACTTTTATAGTTAAAAAGACTCTATTTTGGCCTTAAAAATGATCCCAATGATAAAATACACATGAGTTATCTTGGGTGAAATTGGGTTAGAATTGGACTCCATGGATACCCATTTGGGCAATATTGGACCCAAGTCTCCAAATGGGTAATAAAATAAAGAGAAGAAACAATTGCTTCTGGATACACACACCATATACTCGAGCAAAAACAGAGCGTCTAGGAGGGTTTCTGGCTGATGAAATGCCATCATTTCCGGCGTTTACTGGCGAATTTTAACACACGAACACCAGATTCAGAGAAAGTAGGATCGGTTTGGAGGTGAGACTTGATGCATATCACAATGAAGCTGTGATCCTACTCTCCCCGAACCAAGTGTGTGTGTTGAGACTCGTCGAGAAACGTCGACGATGATGACGTTTTACCAGCGAGAAACCCTCCTAGACGCTCTATTCTCTCTCACGCGTATTCCGTGTGTGTCTATCTAGAAGTGACGGGCTGGGGCGATTGTTTTTTCTTTTTATTTTATTAAATTCACCCATTTTGAGACTTTGGGTCTAAGATTACCCAAATGGATATCCATGTGATCTAATTGGAACCCAATTTCAACCCAAACTCACCCATGTGTGTTTCTTTATCATTTTTAAGTAAAAAAATGTCTTTTTAACTATAAAAATATTTATAGACTTAAAAACCAAGATTTATGTAATTCTATTATAAATAGATATTTTTTCTATAAAAAGTATTTAAAAATAATTCTTTTAAATATATGAAAATCCAACTTTTTAAGCTCTAACAAATCCCTACACTTATCTTTTGTCTGTCCTCGGACAAAATTGATAAAAGAATAAAGAAAAGAGGATGTAGCTTCTAACAATGGTCACTTTGAACCGCCCAACTAATGCATATGTTTCTCCTTTCTATCTCCAAAAGAGATCACTTATGAACATTGTTTTATCTTCAACCATCCAAATTGACCATTCTATCAGGATGTTTCTTCAACCATCTAAATTGATTTTCGCCCCACAACCTTTTTGGTAAAAATCAACCAGGTCCCAATTCTCCTCACAGAATCGAAAACGTCTCTAGTCTTTAGGCTACAACTTCTATCCTCTCTATTTTTAATGGGCTAAGGCAAGCTACCCCGGAACTGATTTTGAATTTTTTCAGGACCCAGATATAAATACCCCGTGGGCTCCCAAGAGAGATAAAAGATTGTTTTATGACAAGTTAGCGCAAATAGTATCAGCCTATTTTCATAGTTATTTATGACTAGAGGTGCTCAAGTGTAGATTTGTTTGGAGTTTTTGGGATTTAGTGCGGTCCAACATACGGTGCTCGCCCTTCCAATCAAGTGTTTTTCAATTCAAGACATCATTTCCTTTCAGATTCGTTACTTAAGGGGTCAGAGGTGCCGTGCCACCAATGCCACGTTTGAAAGGTCTTTTTCAAACAAACCCAAGCCCAAAAATATAAAGACTATTCAAAAATCGTCTTGGAATAGGTCCTTAGGATTCTACCTATATGACTGATTTTAAGGAACTTCAACCAAGTACTAAATGTCATGGAAAAACTGTTCAAAAAGTCTCTTAAAATCTACAATTAAACATGCATTTTTTTGCTTTCAAAAAATGGATGGTTTCCTTTTGGTGTTTGAGGATAATCACAATGTTAAAAAAGTGGATCTTTGATTTTTAAAATTGGTGAAGCACAAGCATTAATCACACTTAGAAGCTAAAAAATTTCTACCCTTGGTCTCCTATCATTGTCGTCCAAAAAGGATAAAAAAACCGAGTGCGAAAAACTAGCTATTTTTGCTTACAAATTTGTGTCCAAATTGTGCTCAAAACTTTTTTTTTAATAAATGATTTCAAAAAATGGCCTAATTTTTGAAAAAAAGTTTCAAAGTCAGGGGTCAAAAGTTGGTTTAGAAAATTGGCCTGATGTGCCTTGTGTGTGCTGTGAAAAAATAGTGTATTTCGAAAGGGGATTGGTCTAGGGGGTGTCAAAAAATAAAATCCAAAACTCTCCCCTTCACTTAGAATTTGCAGTGCTCTCACTGTTAACTCTCACGCATGCATCATACATCCTAGAGGCTACCATCACACATTCCACAACCTTAATAGGCATGGGACAGAATAAAAAACGGTGTCCATATAGTCTGTTACAAAACAGTGTTTAAATTACAAAAGAAAAGAAAAATAAAGCTGTAAAAAAAGATCTGGGCAGCCCCCCGAGTGATGCCCTCGTTATGACCGAACTTGTTCATCTTCTTCACTTCTTCCATGGTGGTTGCCATACTTGGTTTTCATTCCTACAAATAGGAACACACACCAGATCAGTACAATCAAGAATAAAGTAGGCAACAAAATGGCTGTTTCAGAAACTGATTTTCACACTTACTTTGAAAGTCAAGTTCTTCTTGTAAACTATTAAGCGCTGTTTCAGAATTAACTTGCCTTTGGAAAAGTTCATTCACACTTTTTCAAAGTTTGACAGTTTGGAATCCATTCTGCCAACTTTTTCTAAAACAATTTCCAACATTTGGTTCAGAATATCCTCAGGAGAGGGCTGGTTTTCATAATGAGATTCATATTGTTGAGAAAAATCATTAACACATATCCCTTGATAAGAATTTGAAGCACTAGTTGAGTTGGATTTATAAAAACCATGCATATGTTGAGAAGAATCATACTCCATTCTTTGGTTGTGATAATTTGAGTAAGCACAGAAGTATTCTTTCATGTTGGATTCATTAAAATTAGGAACATTCTGCCTTGGAAGAAGATACTCACAACATTGATTTTGGATGTTTGAATTATGGCTCATGTAAGGCTCAGAAATTCCAGAATTTTGATTATAAAAACCAACACTCAAGTCAGATTGCTGAAAATGTTTGCATTGTTTAGAGCTATGTCCTTCCAAAAAACAAATTACACATTTAAGCTCTTTCTCTTTCATTTTAGCATACTCTTTCAATACTTGAAAAATTCTACAAACCACAAGTGTTTATTCTTGATCAGATTGTGAGAGCGCAGAATATTCACCACAGGTTGTCATAATGAAACAAACAGAAATGAAAAGTGATGTTTAGAGAACTTTCCTCAGTTGCTTCAAAACTAAAATTTACTGCTCAAATTGCACTTAAAAGCACAACTAGACAAGCTTAAACAGAAAGTCAATCCCAAACAGAGAACAACCAAAATTGTTTTTTTTTTGAAAAAAAAACAGAAACTAAAAACAAACAATTAACTTTCCCCGGCAACGACGCCAAAAATTTGTAAGAGCACTTGTAAGTGTTTACAAATTAGTACTTAAGTACTAACTAATACTACACTCTTCCAAAGGGAGAGTGTATAGTATGTTTTTAGCTAACTGGTCGCTTAAACACACACACACACACACACACACACAATGGGGGGGGTCGATTTGGTTTTCTGAAATAAACTAACTACAGGTAACTAAAACTAAAAGCAAGTAATCAAAATAGAGAACTAAAAGCAAGTAAGCAACTACATCAAAGATAAGAAGCAAANAAATTTGTAAGAGCACTTGTAAGTGTTTACAAATTAGTACTTAAGTACTAACTAATACTACACTCTTCCAAAGGGAGAGTGTATAGTATGTTTTTAGCTAACTGGTCGCTTAAACACACACACACACACACACACACACAATGGGGGGGGTCGATTTGGTTTTCTGAAATAAACTAACTACAGGTAACTAAAACTAAAAGCAAGTAATCAAAATAGAGAACTAAAAGCAAGTAAGCAACTACATCAAAGATAAGAAGCAAACACTTGAAAACTCAAACTATTTTGTAATTACGAAAAGGTGTTTTGGTGTTTTGGTTTGGTTTGTGAATTTATGAACCTTTAAGTTGTGATCATTAGCCAAGGAAATACGTGAATACTAAGCAACTCAAGCTAGTGGATTACTCCACTTGCTGTTCATATTGAATAGCTAAGTCCAGAACTAGCCCTACACCTAATCATTTCCCGTCTAGCAACTCCTAAACAAACTCAGAAGTTTAATTAGAAAAGAAGCATTCAAATAAATCAAGCACTTAAGATCTTACTACAATCCTACTAGCAAGATTGTATAATGAAAGTAGATTAAAAGGTGAAAGAGCAGAGGTCATTAACTATTTGACTTGAGTCCAATGTTTGGCACTTAGTTCTGCCTCTCTTCACAATTGATGTACTCTCAAATTTACCCATTTTGAGACTTTGGGTCCAAGATTACCCAAATGAGTATCCATTTGATCCAATTCTAACCCAATTCCACCCCAAACTCACCCACGTGTGTATTTTATCATTTTAAGTCGAAAAATGACTCTTTTTAAATATAAAAGTATTCAAATTTTTAAAAACTAAGATTTGTGTAATTCTATTATAAACAAGTATTTTTTATTCTTTCGAAAAAAAGTATTTTGTCTTTAAAAAAGTATTTAAAAACAATTTTTTTAAGTATATATGAAATTCCAACTTTTTAAGCTCTAACATTAGGCATGTGTTAATATAAACCTGGTATCTTTCGAATCATCTATATCTCCAGATATCACAACCATTTATGACATATATCAAAATTAGATTTCAGATTTGATATTTTGAGATGAATGGAGTTTTGATATCTCCCGGATTGGATTTATGCGACATCAATCACTCCGCCACCAGCATCTACAAACGTTGTCCCCTCATCACAACTATCATTTCAGATCTATTCTAGCACTTTTATTTCAAAAAACATTATTTTTTTTATAGATTTCTGAATGTATATTATATCTCGAGTATAAAAACCTTTCATGGGCTACGACCACAAGCTTAGCTTTTAGTTGAGTTGGTTCATTGGCATGGACGCATGGTATTGAAGCCTTAATGACTTAGAGGTCACGAGTTCAAATTTCAATCTCACCGCCACCCAGTTTTTATAAAAAAAACAATTTCTACGTGTAAGCCTCGAGCAAAAACAAATCTCACCTACACGTGAGGGGCGTGCTAGAGTATAAAAACCTTTCTTGAGCCACAACCACAAGCTTGAGCTTTTGGTTGAGTTGGTTCATTGACAATATCAACTTTTCAAAACTCACCAAACACGTCCAAAAAAGTTAGGGGTTTTACACTTTTTCATTTATGTTATTAAGGATGAAATTGGAATTGAACTTGGTAAATAAAGAGGGAAAAAACAGTTTTGGACCCTCAAGTGTCAACAAAATCGCTTTCGGTCCCTCAGCTATCAAATTTATCAATTTCGGTCCTCAAGTGTGAATCAGAATCAACTTTGGTCCTGAAGTATCAATTAGTATCAATTTTGGTCCTCATGCAACAAGTTAGTGAGTTAGTTAATTTTGGTCTGTGCACTATCCCTAATTAATCAGTTTTTGCCATATAATTTATATTCCATTTGTTCTAAAATTTGCTACTGATATTTTTTGAAAAGAAAATCCAAATTCTCAATAAAACACAATCACACAATGACACAATTCAACTTTCTGTCTAAGCTTGTCAAGTTAATTAAGAAAGTGAATCTTTGGAAGGAGAACATAGAATAGACTCAAAGGAAAAGAAATATTTTCTCAAAAAAAGTGGGCTGATTTATTGTTTGCCAAAATAGTGTGCTGAAAATTATTTTTTACTCTTGACTTGATTTTATTATATATTGGACATATTTTTTCATTGTGGAGGAGTATATGCTAGCATTTAACTTGACTTTGATATGTTTCCTATTGTATTATTGCTCTTTATATCACTAACGCTCTCTCTAGCTCTCACGATATATTTCCTATCGTATCTTATCTTCTCTAAACTAGTATTCCCTCCACAACAATAACCTACACAGTTAAGTCCTACGAAGTGGGATCTGGGGGTGGGCATATGATCTTACCCTCACCTCCCTCTGCTCCAAAATAAAAAATAACACTTTTTTTAGATCTCCCAAAATAAAGTTAGTAGTTTTCTTATTTTTGTATTAGGGAAAAATGTACTTGACTCCCAACATTTCTCTTTCTTTTAAACAAAATAAATTCAATCTTACACTTTCAACACTTTCTTTAAACTCTGAAGTCAATGTGTTCCTTTTAATTTGGGACGGATTGAGTATATTACATAATCTCTTCTCGTGCTCAACCCCCCTCAATGTGTTCTTCCCACGCAGATTATTATGATTATAAATAAACTTCCGCGAGGACCATAGTTTGTAAGGCGGCAAGGCGAGGCGAGGCGCCAATGCACCTTCATATCGCCTACATGTATATATGTATATGTGTGTATATATATATATACATATATTTATATTTATATATTTATATATGTATATATAGGTCGTATACATTTTAAGGAAGCTTGACAGAGAAGACTGAGAGAGAGAAGATAAGTTTAAGTCTATTAGGCTACACTAAAAGAAAATGGGCTGCACTAAAAAATGGGTTTTTTCAAAATTTTAAAGTGGCCCAAGGCATCAAGGCGAGGTAAGGCGAGGAAAGACGACGTCTAGGCGAGCACCTGGTCGCCTTATGGTTTTCTAGGCGAGGAAAGGCGACGCCTAGGCGAGCGCCTGGTCGCCTTATGGTTTTCTAGGCGAGGCGAGCAGACAAGGCGTCACAGTGATAGCGCCTTATCGCCTAGGCGACACCTTACAAACTATGGCGAGGACAATCCTTCTTGAAAGAAATTTGCTACTCCATACATTTCTTAGTAGAGATAGTCGAAAAATTAAATCACTGAAAACTACTTGCTCATGTACAAAGTGATAATCAACAGCTACATGTTTTGATTTTTTGCCATAAATGATTGAACATGATTAGCTGTCAAGTCATCATATATGTTGCACTAACATTAGCAGTTTATCACCATAAGTGTGTAGGTATGGTGGACACGGTACACTTCAATCTCAGCATCATCAGCAAGGATATGATGTGTATGTTTAGCCTACAATACGATATTTAGCTACTGCTGAGTACTTCCTTACTTCCTCTGTCCAAAAAATTTCTTTTCATTCGACTTCTCACAGTTTCCAATGCATCACTTTGATCATTAATATTTATATATAAACATATTTTATAAAATTATGATATTTCAAAATGAATATATTGACTTTAAATTTATATAACAACACATTGTATTTTTTCAGCATATTGTGCTCAAAGTTTAACCATGTTTGATATGTTTTGCACAAACAAAGTGATTGTTTGTTAGCTGATGTTCTGGTGATTTAACTTAAAGTTTTCTTTTCCATCACATGCCAAACTAGGGTATCAATCCGTCACTTCTTGAGTCTTTTGTACTATAGGGGCCAGTAGCATAAATGATTGTCAAGCTTTCTCGTGTCTGTTTTACAGGATTGGTATTTTTATATATTCTCTGGTTCATGTATTGCTGCTAGAAAAATGAGTTTGAACTCTTGGATCCCCTCTTTTTTGAAGTGTTGGTGTAATCTATGTAGTGACGATTAATTATGATAGAATATGTGTCTAACTAGATAAGACAATGCTGACCACATCCATTTTTTGTTGATCTTTGTCTTGGCTTAGACTCTTTTTTTTTTTTAGTTGGAGGGAAAAATGAAGGGCCCAAAAGGCCTATCTTGATGTACTGAATTGTACCGTTTTTGATTTGGTTTCCCAGAAAGAATATAGCTTCATTGGAGGTATGTTTGATCAGAAGACTAAAAGTCAAGAGCAAAAGTTCAAGGAGATGTACCCTATCAGTCTTGATACTTTTAGTGTTGGAACTCAAGAAGATTCTAATTATTTCAATAAAGAGGAGAAAACTTGTCCAGGACCAATACTTGGTAGTAACTGCCCATCACGTTGGCATATGATCATGTGCCGTGTGCTATGCCCATAGCAGAAGTTCAAAATTTGTCAACTTTTCTAGCTCTGACTGTGACTTTATCAATAATTTGCTATGATTTCACCCAATAACAGCTACATTAAGGGGAGGGGAGGGGTAGGGGTAGCTCACCAAGGTTGTCCTTAGATTTTCTCATTGTGGGAGGTCTTGAATTCGAGTCGCCCTATCAACAAAAAAGGCTTCCTTTCACCTATTTATGGGGGTGAGAGTTTGACTTTGTTTTACTAGGTATCACTATTACCAACTCTAAAAAATTTCCAGCCCTAGTTGGGGTATGACCAAACAAGTAGTGGCAAACGGGTATACTAATCCGTAGTTCTAAGCCAGAGATCGGAGTTTTTTGTGCTGGGGCTGCAATGTAGTGGGCCGGCTAGTATAAAAAGTTACCCTCTAAAGTTTTATTCGGTGGACATTGTGTAGTTGACAAAAGCAGACAATGTCATAACTTTCTGTATAATTCTATGCTCTCTTCTCTCCAATGGATCCAAACAATCCTAACAATCTTTATTACAATATGTTTTTCGGCCTCAAATGGATCAAAATTTCCCGTACATAACGTATCATAACCCACCGAAGATGACTATTCCAAATACACTAATGACACTAGGCAAAATGTTTTCGACGTTTGCGAATTGATACCAACAACCAGAATTTTTTCACAATCAATGTCGAACCATATTTGGATTTTGTGCTTCAAATGCAACCAGAATCACAGAGCCAGTGGCCGACCTTGAACCCACGCGTAGAAGGTGAAGGTCGCACAAGAAGGCCGGGGGGTGTGAAGTCTTGAAGGGGAACAATGCTAGGTGGACTAATGACGAGGAAGAAGTCCTTGCCCATGCATACATCGATACGTCTGAAGATCTAATCATCGGTACATTTTTTCACTTATATTACATTTACTCTTTTTATAATCTTATACTCTGTATTTTTTATTACTTCTATCATACTCCCTCCGTCCCGTTTTAAATCGTCCGTTTTGATTTTTGGGCATATTTAAGAAAAAGAAAAAATAGAGTTGATTTTTCGAAATTGTAATTACTTTTTAGGAGGGTGACGATGAATGAGAAGATAAGGTGGAGAAGAGTGACTTATTTTAGGGGTGGTTTAGGTATTTTACTCTTAAAAGTTTACGATAACAAGTAACATACAACTTATTTTGGGACGGAGAAAAAAGGCAAACGGACAATTTAAAATGAGACAGAAGGAGTATAATTTTAAAAAATGATAACTATTAAGCGCAACCAAACTACTTCCAATTTTTGTATGCGGGTTCGGACCGCATTTTTCAAAAGGATGGGGAAGGGAGAATACAAGTCGAGGGACATGATATTTAGTAAATGGTGAGACTTGCAGGCCAAAGTTCTCAAGTGCAATGACATATGGAACGAAACCAACAACAAATGAAGGAGTGGGCAAAGTGATGAGGACATCAGGCACGACGCTTTGATATAGTATGCCACTGATTGTCTCGCGCCGTTCACTAGCATCGGTGCGTGCGAAATCATGCACCAGTCCCCGAAGTAGCTTCAACTTTAAGTTTCGAAACGATCCAAATTGGATTCCACCACTGAGAGTGCTTACAATGGGTGGACTCTTGCCCCGCCCCATTCCCTGCCATATCAATATTCATGTCTTTTCTTGCACCAGGCCAAAACTCCTGAAATCCTATTGCCTATCACCATGCCTCTCTGTTTATTTGACATTATTCATTATTTTTAATTAAAACCTCATATAAATAAAAACGAAATACATATAATTATGTAAAAATACTAACCACGACACTCTTTAAAAAAGTATCAAAATTAAATTTAAATTTAAATTTAAGACAAAAAAAGAATACACTGAGACCTCCTTCGGTGTTGTTCATGGCCGATAAAGGAAGAATGGAGAGCAACTAAAACCCTAGCGTGTAAAGGAGAACGAAGAGAGAAACCGCCTAAGTTAAAAAAATATTAAATTTGAAGTGCGGCGTGGCGAGGCACTGCAATGGATGGCGTAGCGCATCCTCGCTTGTGCTGTAGGTATGTACCCCAAGGTTTGTACCCCATTTTGTACCCCGCAGTTTTGCACCAACACTTTGTGTTGGTGTAAAACTAATTTTTGTTAAACGCACCAACATTTGTGTCCGTGTGAATATTTATTAACGCACCAACATTTGTGTCGGTGTAAACCATCGAAATGTTTGTGCAAACCTGTGGTGTAGAAATGGGGTATATTTTTTTGTGTAAGTGTAGCATGGTCCTAATTTTTTACAAAAAAGTAGAAGGTATGATTAAATAAGCAAATAGAATCTCAATTAAATAAGGAAGCTAAATAAATGAAATTAAATTAGAAACAAATTTTAGCAAATTAAACTCAAATAGTGCAACCACGCGGCGGGGACAAGAAAAAAAGAACAATACACGGAGTTACAGGGGACCATATAATTCTTGTAAAGTTCGGAGTCGTTTTTCCACGAGAGATGTGAAATCATCATATTCATTCCTCCTAAAAACCAACCCGAATTCAAGCCCGCCTTCTCCGTCGTCACGCCGGCCCTCCTCAGCAAGAGACACGCACTTGGCGGAATGAACCATCTCAACCTTTTTGGGCCTCCCAAACCCAAAATCAGTCTCATAAACCCCGAATTTTGGCGACCCCGTAACCAGCATAACTGCATGCACTCCCTAAGACGAAGGCTTTCAGAGCTCTCTCATTCCACTTCTCCGCATCCCTCAGAGGTTCTCTCTTCATATCCTCTACTTCCTTCCAGATCCCCTTCACCCCCTTCATGAACCCTTCATCTCCTTTCACCTCTTTTCTCTTTAGCCACACAAAGCACCTGTTTATGCAGTTGCCAAAGTAGTTCTCCGGGACCGGATACTCCATTCTTTTCCTGCAGTCTGCTGCAAAAAGAAAGTACTCCTCCTCTTCCTCACCATCATCGTCTATATGTCTTGTCGCTTCAACGTAGCTAGCCCACACGAAGCCGCACGCCGCAACAAACTTCGAAAGGTATATCGGGCATGTGGATTCTTCGTCGTCATCTTTTCTCCATTGTTTCATTGCGGAATTTTGTAGTACTTCAATGTCTTCTCTACGCAACACAACCGTCGCCTTGTAACGGTTTTCGTCATCTTCACGGCGCAGGCGCTTGGAAGTTTTCCCAACGAGACTTTGCTTCCAAGATGACCTGTCCGTGAAATAGTCTCTCAGGAAAATGGCTTCGAGCCCCCTGGGATCTCGGATCAGTCCCCGATCGTACGATGGAAGAGGCATATAATTACCCTCAAAAGTCGTCATGTCTTCGGACGACAATTGCCTGCGACAAATGGAAGCCCACGTCTTCATGAAATGGCTGCAGCAGCTGCCATCCATGATGTGGCAATACGTGATGGCGATACAGAGCCCGGCGTTGGGGAAGACGGTGACCTGCAAGGCCACGATCGGGAACACGAGGGTGGCATCGTCGTCATTTCCACCCTCCTCCTTCGTCGTCCTCCATGGCAGCTCAGGAACCAAGACCTCTTCCAAGTCTTGTAGATTTTTCGGTTGGTTTGAGGAATAAATATTGAAATTGTCGGAGGCCGACTCGGCGACTGTCAGCGCAACAGAGTCGCCACCGGTACAGTGAATATAAGGCTTTTCAGTTGGCGGCGGGCAGAGGAGGTTTCCGGCGAGGGGGAAGAAACGTTGGAGAGCAATGGAGAGGGAGTTTTTGAGAGTGGGAAGAGTGGTGTGAAGGAAATGGTGTGTAGAGTGAGGAAAGTCGTAGAAGAACTGGCGTCTAACGTAGACAGGACCAGCAAGAGAGATATCAAGGAATGTAAGAGGGAGATGGGTTATGTCGGGTGGTATTGCAGGGCCAACCTTAGATTGCTCCAGTACCCGCTTATAAGAGGTTGTTGCTTCTTTCATTGGAGCCATATATGATGAATGAATCTAATGGATGACTAATAGGATCACATTGGCTGTATATATGCACAGGACGACACATAGGTAGACCTTAGACCAATTAATAGAGGCTTTTACTACGTATATATACTCCCATACACTATTTCATACTCACTCCACGACAATTTTATTTCTTCACTCCCAAAATTATATGGAGTTTTCATGCTCTCTCTCATCTTCTCATTAACATCTATATTTATATATAATATATTTTATAAGAATTTGATATTTTAAAACTATATTTCAATAAGAATATATTGATACTAAATTTTTATCGTAAGACAATATATTTTTTTCCATAAATCGGAGTTAAAGTTTATAAACTTTGACCTAGGAAAATCAAATGAGAATAACATTTTTTTGTTATTGGGAGTATAATTAAATTATATTTTTACTGCCCCATAAAACATTTCCTACTTGAAAAAAGGTGGGCTTTAAAAATATATAATTTTGGTGTTATTTTCTAATTCCTAATTTACAATCCAACAAATCATATCGTACCGTATCCTATTAAAAAGTTAAGGCAAAATAATAAAATAATACGGAGTACCAAAAATACACATTTTTAAAGCTTGCCTTTTTTCAAACAAAAAATGTTTCATGAGACGGAAGGAATACCTTCTATGTTTAAATTTTTATTAAAGTTTTAGGAACTGAGGGAATATAAATTTTAAATTTTAATTTTGTAAAATTATTTAAATAAATTTAATACTACTAAGAGCATATTTTTTAAAGCTTAAATTCTTAACTTTCAATTTTTTTCCAGTTTTTCCAGTTCCTTCTCGTTTTTTTCTAGTCTTTTTAGTTTCTTTCTGTTTTCTCAACTATTTCCTTTTTCTTCCAACTTTATTGATTCCCAAATAATGACTAAAAATAAAATGTTTTTCATGTATTGTTACTAATAATAATAAAAAATAATAATTATATTATTATTATTACTATTATTATTATTACTATTACAACTATACTTTATAAGTTATTTCGATTTTGTATTTTATTTTTCCCATGTCATTGTTTTGTGATTTACACACATTATTATTTTTTCCTCCATTTTCAATACAAACAATAAGGAATACAAATTTGTTGGGAAAATTGTTTTTTTTGCAATTAACATGACACTAAATCGTCTTCTAAAAATAACAGGTATTTTATTAATCTAATTTGGCTTAGGAAATAATCACAATAATAATAATAATAATAAGAAAAATTATTATTATAATAATAAGAATACCATGTAAAATACATTTAAATAAATATTTGAAGATTTTTCTAGTATTTTCTATTTTTTTCCAAATTCTTCTAATTTTATACTTTTTCTAATTTCTTCAATATTCAGCTCTTTTTTCCAACCCTAAAAACAACAACAACAATAAAAACAACACAGGTGAATCCCACAACAGTAGGGTCTGGGAGGGTGTGTGTACGCAGATAGGAAAATTAAATTTTAGATGGAAAATACACTTTAATATTCAACTTATATATTTTGTTTATTGATTATTCTTATTATCATCGGATCAGATCAGAAATAACTTTAATTATAACTACAATCAAATCAGATATGACCAGATTTGATCAAATCAAACAAAATCAGATCAGATCTTCAAACAAGGAATACGATCTCCAAACGATTTATGTATCTCGTTTCTCACCTCCCATCTCTATTTGCATATAGCTTTAATTAAGTAATTGAAGTTGACATGTTATATACAATTAACATATGAAGCTAATATTATCATTTATAGTTATTAGTGCTTACTACATTGGTGAGATTTTCTCAAAATGACAGGGAACACCCAATAGATGTTCTTGTTGCACACTTATCTAGGCTACCTTTCTGCCTATTTGTTTCCATGTTCTGATTTTTTTGGATTCATCAGTCTTCCAATCCTGTAAGTAAACATCGAAAAACATTTTTATCAAATATGTCCATTGAATACATTCAACTTAACTAGAAAATAACAAATACGGAGTAGTTTGCATGTCATGCTTGCAATATGTTGATCATGACTGTATAAGCTTTTGGTAATATTACCACACAAGAATTTAATCCGGACATGACTATATTAGAAATTTGATAGTGAGTCTGGTTCGATGAAAGAAAATAAGTTTTAGATTATATCTCAGTTGCCCCTTGCCATTGAAATTGCTGACCTTCACATCCCAAAAGACTTAGTCTTGGCAAAGGTATTCTTAAACAGGTCTGGTGCTGCTACTATGCAAGATATTATAACGAAGACAACTTTACACAGCCTGGTTTTGATGGACAAAAATGATGTTGTTCATACATAAGTCGATGGCCAACACCCGACCATCTGAGGTTATGAGGGAGGATATCTTACAGGCCGGGAGCACAAAGCTATTAGAATTTGAAAGTTAAAGCTACATGAGGGAGGTTATGAGGGAGGATATCTTCCTGTTTTGAAGCATCTGCAACCCCCTACTCTAGCTACCCTGTATCCCAGACCACCCCTCACCCCATGTCCCTACCCCAACCCCCTACGGCCAGCAAACCAGAACCCTCTCCACACGCAGGCCAAACCCCCCACCCCAGCAAACCCAATCGGCACCCCCAATACATAATCCCCTGCTCCAGCCTTCCCATTCGCACCTAAAACCAACAAATCCCGATGTATTCACATCCCAAACCCACCAATGCCCTAGCATCAAATTTTAGACAAAAACAAACGCACACACAAATCCGAAAGAACTCGGTTAAAAAATAAAGGAGGCGAAATCAAATAACAATTTACTCACCTTAGCCGATAGGAAGAGAATCGACAAAATTTGAGTAGTTCTTATTGTAGCCTGATTGAATCGCCGTTCTTCTTGCTCGCTCTTGGATGTGCGTCGCTGTAGAAAGATGAAGCGTGAGAGTCAGTTTACGAGAAGTGGGAGGGTTTTGTCACTTTTTTTAAAGCCACTACTTTTTTTAGTTTTCTTTTCCTTCTTTTTTTAAAGAAAGTTTTCTTTTAATTTAGTGTTTTTTTTGTTTTTTTAAAAGAGTTCTCTATAAATTTAAAATGCTCCGTACTACTCCCTCTGTCCCTAAATATTTGTCACACTTCTATTACTGAGGTAAAATATCAAATTTTTTTCAATTCATTTTATTTACATATTAGTATAGGAATAAAAAATAAAATTTACATATCAAAAAACTACATGAAAAATTCTTCAAAATAAGGTTTCAAGAATATTTTATTTTATCAAATAACCAATGAAAACGTAGAAATAAACAAAAGTTCCCGCGACTACGAGAACTTTAGGGACGGAGGGAGTATTTGTTTTGAACTCTGTTTTGAACTCTGATCTACCGTTCATTAGTTTTTTAAGATATTTCAATTACCTTTTTCAAAGTTTTTTAAATTTCGTTTAGTTTCATACTTTTAGTTTTAATTACATTTGTTTTAGTTTTTTTAGTTTTGATATTTTTTGCAACGGAGTTAACGCAACTCGTTATGCCGTTGCAAAAGTTGAATAATTTGTTGCAAATTTTCTGCAATGGAAAAACACTTGAAAAAATCTGTTGCAAAACGCTTCCGAAAAAAGGCGCCAAACTCCCATCATAATTGCAACAGATAAATTACCTCTCCGTTGCAAACAATACCGTTGCAAAATAGTTCTGTTGCAAATTAAATTGCCGTTGCGACAACCGTTCTGTTGCAAATTAAATTGCCGTTGCAATGTCGCAACGGAAAAATGCCTGTTGCTATATTTCTGTTGCAAAACTAACATTTTCTTGTAGTGATTGAATGCATATGCCAATAATTTAAAATGGAGAAAAATAATTACGAGTAATACACAAAAAACCAACTCAAGAACAGAAAATCCGTAGCAAATATCTGTTGCAGATCATTCCCAGAAAATGGCGCCAACCTCCCGCCAAAATTGCAACAGATATTTTTACTTTCCGTTGCAAAAAAATCTGTTGCGAAATAATTCTGTTGCAAACAAAAATTCCGTTGCAATTCTGCAACAGAAATTTGTCAGTTGTAATGTTTCCGTTGCAAATTTGATATTTTCTTGTAGTGATCTATTATTATAAAAAAATGTATACATGAAGAGAAAAATATAGAATTTGGAAAGAATAGTATTATAAAAACAAAGATTTTTCCCATATTTAAACATACTCAAATATTTCTTACCAAAATTATAATAATATATTTTTCATATAGAAAATTATGTGACATACTTGGTGTTAGAAAAGACAACATAAAAATGATTTTTGTTTCTTTTTATTCAATTATAAATTGGGTGGCATAAAAAACCAAATAACCAATGACACATGTCAACTCTTAGTAATGTCATATGTCACCTCTTAGCAATGCCACATCTTAGCTTCTTAGATTTGGAGTCTTAAATTTATATATAAAGGAAAAATATATCTTTTTATGCAGTTTTTAGAATATATTGTTTGTTTTTAATTTTACATCAATATTGGAATAAATCAAATCAAAACTAACTTCAATTTAACATATCATCAACAAATACTTGTATGACATTGATTTAGAGGTTAAAACATCTTATTTATTGGTTAAAAGTTTTATAATCAAAGAAGAGCGTAAAAAAATATTAAATTGTGAAAGAATATTATCATTAAAAAGAATGTTTCTTTTCCATATTTAAATTTATTCAAAGATTCCTTACCAAAATATTGATTTTGCATTTCTATTATCTTAAATTAAGTGGCCAATTAGATTATTAGGTGTCAAAATAAATATAAAATTTATTTATATGTGAAGAAAGCATTTTACTTATTTGGTGTCAACATTTAAATATATATAATCAAATTAATTTCATGTAAATGTAAAATAAAAAACTATAAAATTTATTTATAGGTGAAGAGTGTATTTTATCTATGAATCTAAAAATTTGTTATAAATGAAGAGGAAAACAATATAGAATTTGAAAAGAATATTATTATAAAAAGAAAGATTTTTTTCCATATTTAAATTTATTCAAATATTTCTTACCAAACTTATAATTTTACATTTTTCATATAAAAAATTATGTGACATATTTGGTGTTAGAAAAGGTAACATAAAAATAATTTTCTTATCTTTTTATTCAATTAAATTGATTGGCATAAAAAACACATAAATAATGACACACATGAGCTCCTAGTAACGCCAAGCGTTAGCTTCTTAGAATTTGGAGTCTTAAATTTATATATAAATGATAAATGATATATTGTTTGTTTTTAATTTTGCATCAATATTGTAATAAATCAAATCAAACCTAACTTCAATTTAACATATCATAAACAAATACTTGTATCACATTGATTTAGAGGTTAAAAACATCTTATTTATTGGTTAAAAGTTTTATAATAAAAGAAGAGAGTGAAAAAATTAAATTGTGAAAGAATATTATCATTAAAATGGATTTTTCTTTTTCATATTCATTTTTATTCATAGATTTGATTCCAAAATATTGATTTCACATTTCATATATATTAAATTAAGTGGCATATTATATTATTACTCAAATATTTCTTACCAAACATATAATTTTATGTTTCCATATAAAAAATTATGTGACATATTAGATGTTAGAAAAGATAACATAAAAATGTTTTTTTTCTTTTTAATCAATTATAAATTGGGTGGCATAAAAAAACACATAAAGAATGACACATGCAAGCTTCTACTAATGTCATATGTCATCTCCTAACAATGCCAAGTGTTAGCTTCTTAGAATTTGGAGTCTTAAATTTATACATAAAGGATTCACTATTCAAAAATTGCGAGAACTTTTATTTATTTGTATATTTTCATTGATTATTTGATAAAAACAAATATTGATATCATTTCTTATTTTGTACTCGTATAAATTTTGGCATATTTTTCTACATATGTAATTTTTATTTGTTTTATAATTATATCAATTTTTAAATAAAATGAATTAAAAATCTTTGAAATTCACCTCGTCTTGTGTAATGTGATATTTTTTTAAATATCAATTTTTTTAGTTCACCTCCAGAGTAATAGTGGTTATTAGAATTTAAAAAAAATTCCAAATTGGAGTTATTAATTTTTATTAATAATTCTCACACCTATTTTTTTTACCTTCCAAAAAAATCAGTGTAGTATTTTATACTCCCTCCGTCCTTAAATAAACTTCCTCTTTCGTTTTTTCTTTGTCCCCAAATAAACTTATCTTTTCCCTTTAAAAACCCCTTTTACCTCTTACTTTTTCATACCATACCTATCACATCATACTTTTTTACTAATAACTTACATATCACATCTTAATTTTACACATCACATCAAGGGTATTTTTGGAAAGTCAACACAAAAATATTCCTTCCTTAAATCCTCAAAAAGTCAAAAAAAAAGAAGTTTATTTATAGACAGATGAAATAAAAATTATTGATTTTTAGTAATTCTCGTGTGTCTCTGAACCTAGAAGCTAGAAGGATAGAAGACAATAAAAAATCTCGGCACCCTGCACCCTTCCCCATCTGGGAAATGGCAGCCACGGCATCCGCAGCATCCGCTGTCTCGCTCTCATGTAAACCTATTCGCACTTCTGCACCCACTGAGCTTTCTTCATCGGGGTCATTGTTCTTCAGCGGCAACAAGACTGGGCTCAAACGGAGTTTTGGTCTGAGAGCTGCTAAGATTAGTAGCAATGGCAGAAAGGGCCTTTCTTGCAATTCCCTGTTCGGGCTTGGGGTACCGGAGCTGGTGGTTATAGGTGGCGTCGCGGCTCTTCTCTTTGGCCCTAAGCAATTGCCCGAAATAGGGCGCAGTATTGGCAAGACTATCAAGGGCTTCCAGCAGGTTCCATTTCTTCTCTTCTACATTCCCTTTTTGCTGCAACCGTCCCAGTTATTCTTAAGGATTGTTATTTGTTTGATTATAATTCTGCCCATCGCCTTTGCCCAATATCTATTTGTAATGTCACGCCTCTTCAAAATTTTAGATCGATGAATCACCAAATGAACATATTTCCCTCTTATTTCATTTTAATTTGTTACTTTTCACGAACGTTTTCCTTATTAAATCAAATTTACCGAGTAATATTTTGATTATAAAACATTTATGAAGCTCTTAATTTAAAAAATAAGCTAGTTCACTTGCCAAAAGTTCAAACCTTTCATGATTATCATCTCCTGTATGATAGGCTTCAAGTTTTATGTTAGTTATATTCTGAATGTAATCTGGTTCTTTAGATTCTTAAAATAGAATGTTTTGTTCCTCTTTTGTGCCTTGTGTTCTTGACAAGATTGTCTCAGATGGTTTGTGTCTCATTGCGACTCACAACCTTAATAAGTATGCATTGGTTCTGAGTTTACACTACTCAAACAACCTGCCCTTGCAAGAATTCTTGGAGTGTGTAAGGCCACTGGGCACTGTCTATCCTCAAAATCTAGGCATTACCAAACGTGATCCACTCCGTGCAAAATAGTCCAAGGTCAGCATTGAAAAGCAATCCTATTATGCTATTTGCATTTCTATTTTTTCTCAGAAAACCTGACCTTGCAAGCAAGTTAATATCTTTCCTCTGCCTTTATATTCCACCCATTTCCTAGCCTCTTCCACCCAAAATGCTTACCAAAACACCTTACAAAATCAGGCACACATCTTTTCTGCAGAGTTTATTCATTTCTGCATCCACCTTCTCACTAAATACCTTTCCACTCGTCATCTCTTTTCACGTTGATCTTTACCAATTATTATATCCTTACCTATCTTGTTACACCGTACACACCCAGTCCTTGAATCTATGCAAACCCAAACTTCATCCTTCACATCAGAAAGATATACATTTTTGCAGATTATTAAGAGCCATTTTTTTCTGCATTTTTGCATTTTGTTTTCACCCGAAATAGTCTGACATGAATTGCTACAAGCATCTCGAGTCGATAGCACAGAGGAGAAGAACCTAACTATTGCCTTGAAAGGCTCCTTACCTTACCTTACCTGGGTGGTGTCTGGTTGCTCCAGGTCCTAAGGAATGAGATTAGCTTGATTATTCACCTGATTGACTTTTAGTTACTGAAAGCACTGATGAATGTTCTTCCTTATTTTACATACAACTCAGATTCCTCCTTCACGGCTTGAAGCCGCATAGCTTCAAGCTTAAGGGCTCTCAGAATTCCCTTTCAAGCTTTCTCGAGTCACCCTAATGTAACGGCTAAGAGGACTTGGCTAATGCCATCCTTCTTGTGAGGTTTTCATATGTTGCTAATGAATATAGGGTATGGTAATCAAGTATAGTCCAAGCAGGTCGAGCATGAGTTATTCTAATCTAGGAGAAGAACTTGATGAGATTAGAGATCTACTTACCCTTCTAACTCTATGCTTTTGCTTGTTACTCATCTCTTAAATACAACACGGCAGTTCCTTCGAAACCCTGAAACATGTTAGAAGAACTTTTCTTCTTGAAACTAGATAATGAGTTTCTCCTGAAACAGTTGGCTAAACTGTTCAGAAAATGAGCCCTAAGATGCCATTTTATGGTGGATGTCCCTTTTTATTCTATGTCCCACAAAAAAGTGGATATCCCAGAATTTGAATGGCCTCATGCCATTGAGAAAGTTTTTTCCTTTCAATACAGTTTGGAAGCTCAAAAGGTTAAGCTTGTAGCTATTAGCCATTTAGACCTGCTTCTCTTTGGTGGGATGACTTGAAGGATCTAAGGAGAAGAGAAGGAAAAAAGAATATCCAAACCTGGGTGAAAATTTAAATAAATTTCAAAAAGAAGTTTCTACAAGAGACTTATAAAGCATGATATGTTAAGATCCATGTTTTCAAGCAAGGAAGAACTGCAAAGTTCAGCTCAAGGCTACTGCAACCCCAGATGAGCCTGGAAAACAGGACATAACTTGTATCATTGTATACATCTCCCAAGCTAAAAAAATGAAGGGAGAGGTGCATTTGGACCGGAGATGTCAGCCTCACCCTTGATCTTAAGAACCATGAAAGTGGCTGAAGAAGATGCATAAAGCCATAAAGTGATGATAACCCTCACAATAAAGTTGCAGTTCAGAGAGAAAATTGGAGTACTTAAGATGGGGAAAAGTTTGACAATGTGGTTCTTAAACCAATGGAAGAGACGCTGATGTTGCACACAAAAAATCCACTCCCTTCCCTATGAGCTGCAATGTCTTATACCTGGCCTTAATCAGCAGGTATCTACGTACTGCAGTGTTTTATCTATCAGGCACCCCATTAGACAGTGTCATAGAGCCAATCAACAGCCAAATTCAGCCTGTCAAGATACATTCAATTTACAAGCCATAGAGCCAATCAACAGTCATTTACTGTTGCTTTTCCAGGAAAAATACCTCCTCTATTACCTCCCTGGGGGAACACCCCACATCATATTGCACTTGCACACCTAAGCACCTCACAAATCACAATATGCAAGACATAAAAATTTTTAATGTCTTACTTTAATTTTTTAGCTCAATTACTTTGACCTTCAACAAGCATGGTAGAGTTAGCTTTGCTCTAGTTCAAAGGATATTGAAGAGAGGCTCATGACTTAACATTACCATAATTCTGCACTCTATTGTATTTAATGTATTATTAATTTCAAAAAAAAATTGAGGCTTTCGCCTCAAGGCTTACACCTCACGTGTAGTGCTCTCCCGCCTCGATTCTTGATTTCACCTTTCAAAGCCTTGAGACTTGAGAGAAGGTGATTAGGAGTAATTTGCCTTATTTGAATTTGGACAAGAGTGTGGTTATAGTGAGAAACACCAAAAATATTATTGTGAATGTCCAAACATGATTTTCCTCTTGGTTCATGTACGGTGTACCCGATTCCAAGTTACATAGGAAAAGGCTTTGTTGTTGTTGTCACATTAAGAATTCAGATTGTAGTTGATTTCAATTCAGTCCAAGTCGTAGTCTATGATGGTCCCATGTTGTCCTGAGTTTGACTAAAATCTAGGGGGGCATTTGTACAATGGGAAGTACTGTAATTGTTTATCATGTACGACCTATGTTTCTAAATAAAAGCCTGCTTTTGACCAGTAATGGATGGAGATTAAGAAAATAAGAAGTTTGTAATTGAAATTTATGTGAATGAAGGAAAACAATATGACCCAATGCTTTCAGTAAAATGCGAATGGGAGATAATTTTAAGACAAGGAAAAAGTGAGAAGTTTTTTAGGGAAACATGGGCAATTTAAAAGGAAAGACACCAATACCGTATTTCGCAAAAAGAAAACTATTACATACAAGTTGAAAAGTGAGAAGTGATACAACGTAATACTCAAGGTGGAGTTATTTTACATAGGAGAAGAAAAGTAAAAACTTTTGAAAGAGTGAAGAGTTTGATTCCACTTACAAGTTGAAAGCTAAAATAAGATTATTATATGTAAAAAAGCTTATGTACTTACAATGTTACAACCCCCCAATCCATTTCGGATGGGGGGGTACCTTTGAAATTCCTATTTTGCAGAAGATGACTATTACGTACAATGTAATCCCTTTGTCCCCACTCCCCCATGTCCCAAAAATAGTGGGACTAACCGAGTACTTTTTAAGGTGGAGTTATTTTGCATTGGAGAAGAAAATATAAAACTTCTGCGAGAGTGAAGAGTCTGATTATACTTGCAAGTTGAAAGCTAAAATTGGATTATCATATAAAAAACGCTAATATACTTACAACCCTCCAATCCGTATCTGGTGGGGGGGGTTACTTTTGGAATTTTAATTGCTCTTCTGCATATAACTTAAAATGTAGCACATACTTAGTGTTCTAAAAAAACAACAACCCAGTACACACACTTAATGTTCTATTATTACATTTTATGAGAAAGTAGATAAAAGGGATGAACCAGACAAATCATTGCAAATGGAAACAGAAATTAGGAAAAATCATTGCAAATCTTTCTGTTGCCTCATTGTTATTTATTTCTGATACATTGGTTCTTCTTCTCATCATAGATTAATTGAAATTCTCTCAGTGGCTTTACACAGGAAATTAGGATGAAGTCATTTTTTGTAGAACAACAATTAAGGTTATTAAAAAACTGTGTTTGAGGTTTTTAAATGCAGAATGATCACTTTATGTGCCACTGCATTGGATGGTAGTGAGAGTTAGTGTGTATCATTGAAGGATGTGTAGTTTTCTGCTGCCATCTTAAGCCTTTTGTGATCTTATATCATCATATCACTTGTGCTGCGTGACCCAGGGGTCTTTTGGAAAGAGCCTCCCTACTTTCGAGTAGGGGCAAGGTCTGAGGTCTGAGTACGCACACCCTCCCCAGACCCTAATCTCGTGGGATCCAACCGGATTGTTGTTGTTACACTTGTACGATTAGACAAGTGAAGTATAAATATGCCATCCTGTTATATCCGGGCTTGGCCCTATCATACCCTCCCCCATGTCCCACACCCTCGCAAAAACCAAAGGACTTACGTTCAAACATTATGATTCATTTTAATGAGAATTCCAAGTCCTTCAACCCGAGAGGCCAAAATAACTTCGGACCTAAGGGTTCTGCCAACCAACTCCCACTCTGCCAAACCCCACCCTAAACATCCAAAGCTCCTTTCCATTTAATTCCTTTCAAACATAAAGTTTTCCTACACTTATTTTAGCCTATGGCCGAAAATAAAGGTGTGTAAAATAAAACCTTTTGTTTGTTGTTATTTTCCTTCTTTTAAGCCTTTTATTCAATAAATAAAACCCTCCCTCTATTCCATTCACCCCCTGGCCAAAATACACTTCACAATCCCAACATAAACACCCACAAAGAGCCAAAACCCTGACCCACCACTAGCCACTCATTCCTGCCCA